CAGGGAGCCCGATGCGGGACTCGATCCCGGGACTCCAGGATCACGACCTGAGCCGAAGGCAGTCGCTTAACCAACTGAGCCACCCAGGCGCCCAAACTTGTTACTATTATTATTTAATCTCTCTGACCACCGAAGCAAGAATTGAGGGTGGCACAGGGAGGGGGAGATGGGGCCCCCGTCAGGAGACTCCTGCCATGGCCCAGGTGAGAGCCCTGCTGGCCTGAACTGTGGTGGTGACAGAGAGAAGGAAAGCGGGATGGACTGGGAACACATCTTGAAGACAGAGCCAAGGGGAGATGGGCTGGATGGGAATGAAGGCAGAGAAAAGAGAAGAAAGAAGGAAAACTCCTAGACTTTTGGCCGGAGCAAATCCTGGTGCTGTTAATTAAGATGGGAAAGATGGGGGGAGGGGAGTTTGGGGAGATGGTGGCCGGCAGTGGGGAGTAGGGGAAGGAAAAGTTCCGTTTCCGGCTATTGAGGGTGAGGCGAAGACACCAGTGCAAAGGAGACCAAGGCCCTGAGCCAGGGAGATCAGAGGAAAGTCAGGGCGGAGTGTGAACCTGGAGGCAGGAACGAGGTCCTGTCCAAGGCCACTTGGTGGGGGAAGACCAGCACAGAGTAGTGAGCAGAGGTGCTGGTCCCAGAGTCAAGCCAGACTTGCAAGGGGAGAATGGGAATCAAGAACGAGGAACCGGTGAAGACCAGCAACTCTTTGGAGAAGTTTTCCTCAGAAGAAAAGCAAATAAACTGGGACAGTAGATAGAGCAGAATGGACTCAAGGAATGGTTTTGTAATTGAGGTAGAATTCATATACAACAGACACACATCAGTTTTGTTTTCTTTTTAAAAAATGGGAAAATGAAGGAGAGTGGAGAGGGTATGAGAAGTCTGAAAACAAAGTGTGAAGATGTTGTCCTGCAGGGAGAGGAGAGACCACAGGAGAGGGTGTCTCTCATCTCTAGCACCCACTATGGTGCCTGGCACACAAGTGCCAATGAATGTGGAATGAACCAGTGTGACTGTCAACTGTCAGATGTCAGGGCTCTCCTCCTCCCTGGAGAATCACGAAACCTCTGTCTTGACAAGGACGAGCATGAAGGGGGGTACAAATTCTGAGCTTCCCCAAAGACAATCTGCCCATCTGTTACGAGCCAGGCTCTGATGCCTGACCACTCATCAGCTAAAGCTGGCTCATGAGAGATCTTCAGTTCATGTGTGGTGAATGAGTGAATGAACGAATGACTAATCTGCAAATACACAGAGCTCTCAGGGGTCATGTGAAGGCCTATGGGAATCATGTTTAAATTCTGTGGTCAAGGCCATGGGACTCTGACTGGAGTCCTCCTCCACCAGACTTGGAAATGCCAGCTTTAGCTGGCTTTCATCTGAGGCCATGTTTTCATCTCTCTCCTTCTCTGGACTTACTCCCTCCCCCTATGTCCAGTTTGGGACCAGTTCTTGCCCTCCAAAGTTGAGGGATCCATACACTGGGGAAAGGGCCCCCACAAAGCCAGAAGCTCCTCTCCCCTGACCACACCCAGCTGGGCTGGGCTGGAGCGTCCAGGATTCCTTGGTCCTGAGCAACCCCGTTCCCACACACACTCCTCTCAGCCCTGGGGGAAGCAGCTTATTTGTTTATCCTCCAGTGGGGCCATATATGGAATGTGATCTGCCAGAGCCTTGTCTCTTCGGAAATGACTCACCCCCCTTGCTCCCCAGGCCAGCCCTAGCCCTAAGGGGTCTTCAGGGCTGGAACTGCAGGAGGTGGGGCCCAGGTGTCCTTGAATGTCCACCAGCTTTATGCCATGACCCCACAGTCCCCCAAGATGACTTGGTCACTCCCCTGCTGCTCAGGAATCATGGGGCTGCCTTCAACCCCTGGCAGAACATGAATCACTTCACCTTCACCACCTTTACCACCACCTCACCCTGGGGAAGAAATGTTATTGCCAATAACTCTTGCTTATAAAATGAGGAAATGGATAGAACTGGGGGGTGGGGGGGCAAGGGTCAGTCTCCAGGAGGGACCTCAGCAGGTGCAACTGTTGAAACCACCATAATAAATATATGATAAGTAAGGGCGTTAGAATGGTGCTTAACATTCAGTAGCACACAAAATATTTGTTGAATATGGTAAATAATAATAGGTCAATAAATAAAGGAATCAAGAAGTGAGGGTACTAACACCTAAGTGCTTACTATAATGCCAGGCACCATTCTTAGTATTTTACAAAGAACATGGACATTAAACCTCACAACAACCCCGTGAGGTAAGGTTGTGTTATCCCCATTTCACAGATGAGGAAATGGAAGGTCACTGGGGCTAGTAACTTTCCCAAGATAGCACAATTAATCAAAAGAAAAAAAATAAGATTCCATGCTAGGTCAGCTTCTCAAAAGCCTGTACCCTTAACCACAATACCAGATGCCAGAAGAGGAGGTCCGAGGAGGGCTGCCCCTAAGCCAGAGCGAGTCCCCACCTTCTTGACAGCCTATCAGTGTATGTTCGGAGGAAGAAGCTGGGGAGCCTGAGAGGGCCTCTGACCATGTGGGATTCCCCACCCCAGGGCAGGCCAGAGCTCATGGTGCAACCTGGGAGAGCAGAGTTTTGGGGGATCCCCACGGCCAACGCACTGACCAGAGCCAGGCCCAGGACGGAACCAGGGTCCCACCATCTGGGAGTCCCAGCCGCGCCCCGCAGCTGATGCCACAGCCCTAGACAGCCGCCCCACCATGCCCCCCTTCCCGACAGTCCTTTCCTCTACCTCTCCTGCCCTTCACTTGGGGACATCCCTCTCTCTTCGCCTCCATGTACGGCCACTATCCTCCCCAATACTGCACTCACACCGCTGCTTTCAGCTGCTTAACGGATAGAAGTTAGATCTAAGGAAGAACCTTCCTGCGGGAGATCTCAAAACAAGCTCAAAAGACAGATGAAGGCTCCACTGCTCTGGTTAAGTAGGGGAGAGTGAGAAGCCTGCCCCAGAAACATCTGTAGAACCCTGGGCCTCAAGGAGCAGGATTTGCAACTCTTTGAAGGAAAGAACAGACAGCTGGGAGGCCCAGCTCCGACTGGCCTCATGACCTTGGGCCAGTCCTCAACCCCTAGGGACGACAGGTCTCGGGCTGCCCTTCTGCACAAGGAGGGGTTACCACGGGCAGCCACGAAAGTCCCTTCCAGCCCTAATGGGCTAGGGAGAGGTGTCAGGGGAGGACGGAGAGCCGTGCTGGGAGGTGGGAGGGCTGCTCAAGGCCTAGGCAGGGCAATGATTAACCACTGGCAGCTCAGTCCCAGGCACCCTCAGACCCACCCCTCACCCCCTGCAGACAGGCCCAGCCCAGCCTCACCCGTCACCTGGCCAGCCCCGGGAGGAAAGGACAAGGCCACTGACCAGGGCACCCTGCCAACCAGCTCGCCACCACCCCCATCCCAGGGCTGGAGCATCTGAAGGTCTACTTCACGCCAAGGATGGGTGGCAGGCTGGCCCTCCGCTCCCCACCTGGACCCTGCCTGGAGCCACACCGGTCACACCCTCATCACAGGTTGACAGTGACTCACAGCCCTTTCCCTCCTGCCCGCTGAGGCTTGTTGTTCAGCCGGGGAGCAGAGCGGGAGCGGACCTCCGCTCCAGGCGCCTCATCAGAGTGACGGCTGGTACCAGCTGGGTCTGCCCATGGGGCTCTGCGCGGGCTGGGGCTGGCAGGGAGGGCAGGCCAGGGGCTCCTGTGGCAGGACTGGTTCCCCAGGGCCTTCCTGGCACTCACCCTGGGCATCCCCTGGGAACCCGGCCCCAACCCTGCAGCCACATGTCCATCCGAGCAGTGGACAAGCTAAGACCAGACCCTGCTCCCATTTTTAAAGTTCTCGTGCTCCAGCCACCCACCCACCCCCCCACACACACACCCTATACGTATCCAGGCATGCTCTCAGACACAAAATCACATATATCCCACCAGTCGGTGAGCTCCTGGTGACGTAGTGTGTGGTTTGCACTTTTCACCCAATGCACTATACTGAGGTCTTCAATAAACATTCACACCAAACACACTCAGACTCCTACAGCCCAAACTCAGCAACATAAGAACCTATTACTCACACAGATACCTCCATACTACATGGGCCATAAACACGCTCACCCACACATACACCTGCACACACTCATATAAGCACACATCCACTGGCACAGATATGCCCTCACCTAGGAGCAAAGGCACTCCCACATCAACCCCCAGGCACAATGACCCATTTGCAGAGTCCAAGGTCTGGACCCCCAAGCGCCACCCTCAGCACAGACCTTCCCTGGGGTGTGCCCAACCTCCCGGGCAGCCTAGGCTCCTTGTCCCGGAGCACTGAGTTCCTTCCATTCTCGGGGCTTACCTTATCCCCTCTCTAGAACCCTTGGGCCCCGCCACATGGGGGGTTACTGGGCAACTGTGCTTCAGAGCAATGTGAGGTCCTGAGGGTCTGAGGAGGCGGGCCCCCAGCCCTGGGGAGGATGAGACTGAGACATGAGAGAAGCTGTAGAGCCCTTCTGGAGGGAGGCGAAGGAGATCCTAGAACACTGGAGAATGCCTGAAAGCCACCTGAATAGGGAAGGCCTGGGGAGGGTGCTGGTCTGCCCCTGCAGAGAGAACCCTGGCCTCAGTGTCCAAATGCCCACCTGGGAAGGGCAAAAAGGACAATTTCTACTTGGCTTAACCCTTTGGGATCAAAGGAGTAGGAATCCAGCTCTGAGCTACTACACGGGCCTCAGTTTCTTCAAGGGCAAGATGGTGGGAGATGGCAGGGAGAGTGGGGGGTGAAGAAATGAAGATGCTGGTGTGAACACTTCTGAGGGGAGGTGCCCAGTAGCTCCAACGGGAGTCACCAGGGTCACCAGCCACAGCGAGGGGTGCTGCCTCCAGGACAACCCTCCAACATCCCAGGCTTATCTAACCCTGACAGGATGTCCAGCAAGCAAGGACAAGATACCCAGTGTCCTGACCCTCTGAAAGACCAGCCTACAAAAAAAAAAAAGACTGAAGCACAGAGGGGGACAGCAACTATCTTGAGGTCGCCCAGCCCAGACACCACCCCAAAATGCCACACTCTGAATTTGAGCCTCATTAGTGGGAGGGGGCTCTGTTGCCCAATGGTCTCTATTCCCTGATCCCTGTTCTTCTGGCCCTCCAGGGAGAGAGTGCTGTCCCCACCCCTGTCCCCATCCGTTCCCCAAGAGGGGGTGACGGATACCTCCCCGGGGCCCGCTCTCTTAGTCTCTACCAGAGAAACATGGCAGCGGGGGAGGCCTCTCTCGGAACGAGGCTTGGCGGTAACTCTTGAACACCTCCCCAGTCGCCCCAAATGTTCCCTCCACCCCGCAGGGGGCCATGGGAGGGCCCCCCCCAAGCACCCTGTGTGTGGCCTCAGTCCCCGAGAGGAGGAAAGGAACCGTGGGGGAGCGAGAACACCCGCCCTGCCCTGTCACCTAAGAGCTCCCCATTTTGGCCCCAGGGGCTGCCACCACCCCCACACCCCCCACACCCCCGCCCGACAGACTCGGAGCCCGGTTCCCGGGGACGGGAAGGGGGCCGACGCCGCGGCGGGGAGAGGAGAGCCCGGTGCGGCTCCCCGGGGCCGGCCGCGGCGCTCACCTGGACAGCGCGGACCAGTCCTTCCTGCTGACAGCCATGCCGCCGAGCCCGCGGCCGCCGAGTGCGCGTGCGGGGCCCGGCGGCCGCCGCCTCACCTGCGCGCCCCTCCCCCGCCGCCCGGCCCAGGTAAGGTCACATGGCCGCTAATCTCAGCCCGCCCGGCCCGCCGCGCTCGCACCCGCCGCCCCGAGCGGCCCCCGGGGTGTGGGCGGCCCCGCACAAAGCCGCATTGATCTCCGCCCCGGCCGGCCCGACCGCGCGTCCGCGAGCGCCGGCTAGCTGTCCGACCGGCCGCCGGACGGACCGACGGACGCCCAGGCTGGCGCGGGGTAGATCGGCCGCCGGCAGCGAGGGCGGGGGACTTCCTGCTCAGAACCAGTTCGACCAGCTCGGCGCTGAGCCGCCTCCTCTCGCAGGGGCCGGGGTGCCGGAGAGTGGGGCTGCGGGCGGGGACCCGACGATCGGGGTCGGGCCGAGCTCGCTGCGGGTAAACCGGCTTAGCCCGGAGAAGCCCAAGAGCAGAAGCCGAGCCGGAGAGTTAGAGCAGGTACCGTAACTTCGGGTCCGGGACCCGAGCACCGGCTCCCGGGCCTGCAGCGCCCGCCCCGGCCCTCCGCCCCTAAGAGGCCCCGAGAGATGAGCCGGGCAGTGCTTTCGCTGTACCGCCAGCAAACTACAGAACGCGCCCCGTGTAAAGCCAGCCAACCCCCAAACGAGATTCTTAGATTCAGTTCAGCAAACATTTGAGAGCCCGCAGTTCGGAAAACACAATGATGTCAAAGGCACTGTCTTGGCTTTGCTGGTACTGGTCTTTGGGCTGGAGCAGCCGGGTGTGTAACAGGGCAGAGGAAGCTCAGCTTTTCCCCAGGAAGGAATGAACCCGGATCACCAGGACTGGGATTCTGAAGGGCTCTCGGGCACCACCAGCACCACCTGGCTCCCTTCAAGTGTGCAGCTGGGCTGGTGGGTGCCAGGGGCTCTCTATCCAGGAACCAGTTTCGGATGGGCTGAGGGACGGGCAGTCACTGAGCATGGAGACTCTCATCTCCCCTGATGGATCAGAACTGCAAGGTCAGCAGCAGCAGTTCCTGCTCTAAGAGGGATGGGTCGAAGCCCCAGGCACCAGGAGGAGGAGGAGGAGGAGGAGGAGGGGAGGCACAACTGCCAGCACTCTGGCCTTGCTCCCCAGCCTGGCCTCCCTTTGGCACTGATCCAGGACTGATGGTCTCCACCGTGCCCTCTGGCTCTGAGATCTGATGGTGATGAGCAAGCCAGTTGCTGAGCAGAAGCCTGGAAACACAGACACACATCTAAGGCATTTCCTTCCCCAAAAGGCCCCCTCCTCCAGGGAGCCTTTCTTCTTGACCTAGGCGGTGAGGAGTGAGGTTTAAGGAATGATTGCCGGACTGGGAGCCTGGAGATCTGGCTCTCAGCTCGGATTCTCCCATTTAGGAGCCATGTGACTTGGGACAAGTCACTTTCGTTTTCTCATCTATGTAGTGGAAATAATGGTACTTTGCTTCCTTCCAGACTGTGGGGATCAAATGAGTCAATCATTGAGTGTTGGTGGCACGGGGATGAGCAGTGTTAAGGTTGACAAGGCCCCAGAACGTTTTGAACAGAAGCCAAGGCAGGACCCAGAGCCATTTGCTCTTCAAAGGAAAGAGAAAGAGGGAATGATGGTAATCTATGTCCCTGGATCCTCTGATACAGGGCCTGACGCTTCCCAGGGAGCCTGCTGTCTCCTGGGGACCTAGGGAATGCTCTTTCCAAGGTTTGTCAGTAGTGGCACCTCAACTTACGAAGAAAAATACTCCTAGTTATGTGACACCTGGTCCTTCTAGGGACACTTTATGAAGCCAAGGAGACAGTCAAGTATCTCTAAGTCCAAAATCCAACACCCTCTCTGTGGATATAAAAACCCAAAGACATGGAAGGTTGGTATGTGGGTAATTCTAGAAGTAAGGAAAAGTAAATTAGGTGCATGTTAAAGCCCCCAAAGTTGTTTGAGGACAGGCATTATAGATTTACTAGACATTTTCTGTGCACCAGACACTGTGCCTGGTGCTGTCAATGTAGCAGCTTCCTAGGGCTGCTGTAGCAAGGTCCACAAAGGAAGTGGCTTAAAACAACAGAAATTTATTTTCTCACAGTTCTGGTGGGTAGAAGTTCAAGTTCAAGCTGTGGGCAGAGACAAGCTACCTCCACAGGCTCTAGGGGAGAATCGTTCCTTGCTTCTTCCCAGCTTCTGGCAGTTGCTGGTAATCTTTGGAGTTCCCTGGCTTCCAGGTGTGTTATTCCAATCTCCACCTCTACCGTCACAAGGAATTCTCCCTGTGTCTGTGTCTGCATCCAAATTCCCCTCTTCTTATAAAGATGTCAGTCATTAGATGAGGGCCCACCTAATGGAGTCGTACTGACATACCTCATTTTAACTTGATTACATCTGCAAAGACCCTAGTTGCCAGTAAGGTCAGACTCTTGGGTACCAGGGGTTAGGAATTAAACATATCTTTTTGGGAGCCAGAATTCTGCCCACCACAATCAGCCAAGTGGCTTTGACTTCAGGGACACAAAAATTGTGAGGCCTCGGCTCCTGACCTCCAGACCTTCCCACTCTAGCAATGGAGATGCACACCCAAGCCTCATTCCAGACAGACTGATAAAAACTGAAGTTATGTCATCAGGAGGGATTAACTCTAATGGAGGGATTGGGAAGTCTCAAAGAGGAAAGAACATCCGGGTTGGCCTTTGAAGGTTAAGTGGAATTCAACCGTCAGAAATGGCAGCTGAGCATCCAGCTACTGGACACAGCATCAACAAAGACAGAGGGGCAAAAGTGGAAGGTGTTTGTGGAGCGGAGAGAAGACTCATGTGCTTGAGGCCTAGAGCACCTTCCTTCCAAGGCTGAAGGGAAAGAGGGGGAACGGATAGTGGGGACCCTGGGTTGTGCTCAGGTGTTACTCTTTCACCATAGAATATGTAGAACTTGAAGAAAAAGGGAGGGTTAATGGCCTTTGAATGGGAAAGGTCATAGACCCCGAAAGACAACTCTGGAGGCAGTATGAGTAGAGGTCAGATCAGAAGTGGGAGGCCATGCTGGGGAGGGTATTTTGTACAGTCCACAAAAGAAATGAAGGGGGCTTGAGCAAAGGCAGCCAAGTAGGGGGAGAGGAGAGGTGTTGGCAAGAGCTTTCGAAGTTCAATTGTCAAGACTGAGTTGACTGATTGTGGGCGGCAAAGGAGGACAAGTCCCTGTGAAGCCCATCTCCCTAGGCTGAGGGGCTGGGTGAAGGCAGGTGCCACTGATGAAACAGGGCTGCAGGAGGAGGAGGAGGCTTCGGGAGGAAGGTGACTTTAGACCACTAGGGGTTCTTCAGCCTCCGCATTATTGACATTTTGGACCTGATCATTCTTTGTTGTGAGGACTGTCCATGCATGGTAAGATGGTCAGCAGCGTTCCTGGCACCACTCATTAAAATGTAGGGTCCGTGGGTGCCTGGGTGGCTCAGTCGTTAGGCGTCTGCCTTCGGCTCGGGTCGTGATCCCGGGGTCCTGGGATCGAGTCCCACATCGGGCTCCCTGCTCAGCGGGAAGCCTGCTTCTCCCTCTCCCACTCCCCCTGCTTGTGTTCCTGCTCTCGCTGTCTCTCTCTGTCAAATAAATAAATAAAATCTTTAAAAAAATAAAAAATAAAAAATAAAATAAAATAAAATGTAGGGTCCGTGAAGACAGCCAGGTGGAGCTGTCCAACAGATGGCTGGCTGTGGGGAGTATGGGTGCTCCAGAGCACCCAGTGGTGAGCTGCAGAGCAGGCAGGAGGAGGGGTTTCCTGAGGACTGGCGGGGGAGAGAGGTGTTAATGTTCAAGATGTCTGTGCCCCTGCGCTAACCCCCTGAGTGTCTTAAGAGCAAATGCCTTATTCGCCTCAGTATCCCCTCAACTCTATGCCTAGTATAGTAGGTGCTCAATAAAGGTTTGGAGAATTGCACTAACTTGCTTTGGGAAGAAGAACAGGAAAACCCAAATCGGCCAAAACCCCTGCTGAGTATAATCTTGGGAGCTGGGTATGGGAGAAGCTGAGATGGGGAGGTGGGGGACTCTAAGCATCCCTTGGCCTCCCGGATATAGCAAAACCAGGATATGGAGCATCAGCAACTACCCCTGTTGTTGGAAGGGGCGCACGAGGTACAATCTAGCAAAGGTGAAGATATGGTTCTTGACGCCCCAGCAATTGCACTCCTGGGGAGAGAAACTCTTGAGCAGGAGCAGTAGAGGAAAGGTTTGTGAATATTCCAAGCAGCACTGTTTATAGTGGCAAAATTCTGGAAACCACCTCTATGTCTGCTAATAGAAAAATGGGTGAATAAGTGATAGTATTTTTGTCACGTCACAGCAAATGTATCAACAGGAGTGAATTTCACCACCTTCACCTCGAAGGGGAAAAAGCAGGAAGCATGCATTTATGTCAGGTTTACCTGAAAAATGCAAAAGTAGACAATATGTTGTTTAGGAATTCATAAATACAGAGGAGCGCTATAAAGAGAACGAAGAGAAGAGTAAACACAGAGCTGAGGATTCTGTGGATTCATCTGTGGAGAGGAAGAACCTTGGAAAACATTTACAATACCCTTGTTCCTAACGTGAGTGGTCAGCACATGGATGGTCATTTTATAACTCTTCAACTGTATGCGCATTAAAAACCACAAGCGTATGCTGATCACTTCCTCCAAGGACAATCCACGGAGATAGGGCTTTTCACATGGGAAATTCCCTGGTCAAGGGCAAGAGTTTTCAGGACTTCTCAGCCAGCAGTGGGGGAAGGGGGCATCTCTCTCCTCCCAGAACTTACGTCAGGCTCTGGAACCCCCACCCCTACCCCTATCTACATAGCTCATAGGTCGGCCTCTCCTTCTCCAAAGAGGCCAGAGTGGGGACCCAGGGGGATCCCTGGCCCCAGACTAGCAGGTTTGTAAATCACACCCTGACATTTCAGGTTTATCCCATTCATATATACCTGCTGAGCACCTGCCATGCCAGACCACTCTAGGGGAAGGCAGAAAACAAATGAGGTAATCACACTCATACCCTCAAAAACCCAGGGCGGTGGTTCCCCGGCTTTGGGTTTTCACCAACGAATAATATGTTTTAAATATGAATACCCTGGGGCACGTGGGTGGCTCAGTCACTTAAGCGGCTGCCTTTGGCTCAGGTCATGATCCCAGAGTCCTGGGATGGAGCCCCATGTCTGGATCCCTGCTCAGCGGAGAGCCTGCTTCTCCCTCCACCTGCCACTCCTTTAAAAAAATATATGAATACCCAAATGGTGTTGATACCATTTTATTTTGCAAAGTAAGAACATTAAAAAACAATGACTACCTACCCTGCTCCCACTCCATAAGTAAAGAATATGTTAATACTAAAATCATAACATTAAGGCATGCATAATTTTAGAACAAAGGAGAGCCCTTGTCACTGAGTACATTAAGCTTTATGGAAACTTCCACCACAGCAGCCCTGGCTTCCCCATCGTGCAGCCGTTGAAATGTGGGTCACAAAAAGCGAGTGAATCAGGAGAGTTGTGTCTGGGAAGCACCAGTACAAGGGACACACGGGCATCCGCCCCACCTCGGACAGGCAAGCCACTGCATGCTGTGTGCACACACACCAGGCTCACCTTCAGATGAACAGCCGCGAGCATTCACACACACGCACACACACACACACACACACACACACCCTCCCCCAGGGGCTCCTAGGTTGGAACACCTGGCACCCAGATGAGGCCATACTTCTCTCTCAAACCTGGAGTAGAGGGCAGGCTCGCCCAGTCTGTGCTGACCAGTGAGAGGGGTACTTGTTGGCACTAGAGCCAGATGCGTGCTGGGCTGGCCCAGAGGTGGGCCACCTGCTCAAGTCACCGGACCTCTCTGCCTCTGGCTGGGATACCAAAGCTCTACCCACATCCAGTTTTTTCAGGAGACTGGGGGTCCAAGGACCTATGTTTTCATCCCAATTATATCTGTGACCTTCAACAAGTCACTTTCCCTCTCTGGGCCTGCAGACATTGACCATAGTTCTCTGGGGCTATAGGGACTCACGCTGCTCAGCCTCAGGGGACCCACAGGCCAGTTTAGGATTGTGTCTTGGGAGTAAGGGTATCCTTGTTCCTCAGCTCCAATGAAGGAGCCTCGGCCGGCAAGCTTCGGGTATTTTTGAGGAGAGAACCCCGATGTGGTCAGGAGAGGACCTGCCATCTGCACGGGTCCCAGCAACCTGATCCAGTTTTCAGTAGCTTGATCACCCACCTGGAACGAAACTGCCCCCCTGGCTGCCCAGCCCAGATCCCTGCGGGGAGTCTGACTCACTTCGTGGGGGGCCTCTGGGGCTAATGTTTAACTCAGCTCCCTCCCTCCACAGGCCCTTTAGTCCCAGCAGCCCTGGACACTGGGCCTGCCCTGACTGCCCTGCTGGGGGTGGGCTCCAGACAGACAGGGGCCCAGCCTCCCGCCCCCCATGGAGACAGGGACTTCATGGGGAGGGAGAAGCAGCCGCAGGCGTCCTGAGGGCTCTGGGACAGGCAGGGGTGGTAGCAGGGGGCATTCTGCCCTGGTCATTCCTACCAAGGTGGGAGAAGCACCAGGTCCATCTCCAGCTGCACGAGAGATACTTACCCAGCTTTGCCACAGGCATCCCAAGAAATCCTCCGTCCCTCCACCCCCAGTTCTGGCCCTGGTGTTGGAGGAAGACCTCTCCTTTGCTCAGTTGGGAGGCATTTGCATCTCATTTGAAGGTTTTCCCTTTCAGTGGGGATATTGGAATTCCTCAGGTGCATATGCAGGGCTCCTGACCCCCAGCTGTGTCCCTTCTGGAAAGTGGTTGGTTGGGCTCTCTGTGGCAGAGAACCTAGGTTGACCTAGGTTCCAATTGCTGGTGTGCGGCTATCAAACCCTACAACTCCAGGTGGGTTAACTCACCTCTCCCAGCCTTCAGGTCCTCATTCTGCAATCCAAGATAAGAGTATTGGAGTACCTGGGTGGCTCAGTCCGTTGAGTGGCTGACTCTCACTTTTGGCTCAGGTCATGCCTGATCTCAGGATCCTGGGATCGAGCCCCCTGCCCCCCCTCCCCAGTTGGGCTCTGCACTGAGCTAGGAGTCTCCCTGGGGATTATCTCTCTCTCTCTTTCCCCTTCTCCCTCTGCCCCTCCTCCTGCTCTCTCTCTCTCTCTCAAATAAATAAATACATCTTTAAAAAAAAGAGTATCTACTTCTTAGCATTTTGTGAGAATGTAATGATATAATTCTGATAAAGCATTGAGCATCATTTTTATTATTACTAAAATAGTGACTAAGCATATGGCCTCTGACTGCCTGGGTCGAATCTTGGCCCCTCCATTCACTTGCTGTGTGACCATGGGAGGGCAGGCGTTAACCTCTCTGTGCCCCTTTCTCAGAGGGGCATTGTGAAGGTGAAATGTGAAGATGTGTAGAGTGGCGCCCCGGCATATACTCAATGTGATGCAAGTGGGAGGTGTTTTTAGTGGGAGGCCCAGCTCCCAGCTCAGCTCCCCCTGTATCTGGTCCAGTGTTGGCCCTCCACGGTGAGAGGGAGTAGACGCATGGCTCTCCAGATACCATGCCTCCCACCCAGGCCCTGTTCACAGCTACAACTCTACTAGCAGCCCCCTCCCAAAGGTTGCTCTTCCCCCCAAAGCAGCCCTGTGACAGAGCTCACCTCCTCCCTCACCCACTCAGTTCCCATGGTCTTCACTCTCAGGAAGCATTTTGCCCCTTTGCCCTTGCTCCGTCCGCCCTCCCAAGAGATGGATTGGTTCTAGCCCTGCTGGGAAGCAAGAGGGACCAGACAATGACCTCCAGAAAGCCTCCACACGGCCGGGCCATGGCACTTTCCCACAGGGCCCTCGCCTTGGGTGTGTTGAGTTGGCCCCACGGGCTCTCTGCACCCTGGTGTTTGTTTTGAGTCAGGCCTGGGGCTGGTCTCCGGCTTTTGTAGGGCAGGGTGGAGACCCCAGTCTGCCAGGGCCCCAGGTTAATAGTCGACTGGCGGAACTGAGATTTGGCTCTGGAACTTGGGGCCAGGCTCTCTCAAAGGGCTGAGCAGAGACAGAGCAAGGAGACCATGCTTTGGACCCAGGCCAGCCGGGAGGAGCTCTGTGAGGCAGGGAAGGGTGGGTTTCTGTGGCTGCCCGGGCATGAAGCCCAACCCCATCCTCTGTGGCGCGGGCTGGCCCCATCAGGTTCTCCAGCTTTGCATGTGTGTGTATGAGAGAGACTGGGTGTGTTTGCCTAAGGGTTTCTGTGTATGGTAGGAGTTGTTCTCTTTGCACACAACTGCCCTTCTGCCTACTGGGCTGTTTGTAGCAAGAACCCCGGGCAGAGACCTCCTCGCCTACCCCATCCCAAGTTGCTGGTCCCTGCAGGGGCTGACAGGCTGAGCAGCCCTGGCTGTTAGACCCTGCCCCAGAGAGTAGCTGGCACTGCCCTTTGTACCCAGCTTCTCGTATTTATGGCAAATAATACACTGGGAGCAGAGGGCGGAACAGGGAGTCACAGGGCGGGAGGAAGGGGGACTCCTCAGGCAGCTCAGCCTCTCTTGGGACCAGTGCTGAGGTGGTTAAAAGCCAAAGGGCCCCGGTTTTGTAGGCTTAGTTCAGGAGTCACCAGGACACTGCCCTGAAAAGCCAGGTTCTGCTCTTCCCGGAACTTTGGTCTCTGCTCCAGAGAAGCCACTCTCCTCGGTATGTGGGAGGGCAGGGAGGGAGGCTGCCCCTCCCCCCATCCCACCCCAGCAGGCTCGCTCCGCTCACCACGCTTTGGGTCCAGATATCAGTGGGATGGAGGAAGAACCAGACCTAGAGGACGGATCACTGGCCGGCCCACCTCGAGGACAGTGGATCTGGAGGATGTGACCTGGAGGATATGGCCAGTCCAGGAGTGTGAAGAGAAAATGACTGGGAGGAGGGTGCCTGAGGGTGGAGAGAGCAGGGATCAGGACGGGAGGGCCCCCGGGGCTGCGATGGGGAAAGGAGCCACCTAGTGGCAAGACATAGAACTGCAAGGTGTCCCTCCCGGCTGGGCCGGGGTGCGGATAACTCCCGCCCTGTGCCTGTAGGACCAGGTGAGGGCCTGAAAGCACCCTGACCTCTCAGTCCAGAATAGTCAGGAACATCCAGCAGCTACCAGGGAGAGGTGACCCAGGTTTGCAGAGAAAGGGAACTGTGAAATCAAGCAGGACAAGGGGCTCGAATGGAGAGGCCCATCTTGATGGCTGGAGTCGTTAGGAGGGGCTGGGACTGTTGCAGAGGTTAGGGCTTTGGTAATCTGAGCATCCTGGGTGGTGATGGGGTGCTGTGTGATGCCACTGGGACTGAGCAGAATGGGTCCCAGAGGGGCCTTAGCAGACAACTGCCAATTCCTTAGACCTCCATTCCAACTCTGAGCTCCTGCCTAGAGCCCAGCACATCCATCTCTGTAGACTCCCTGTTTCTTCTGAGCACTCACAGCCAGAGCTACAGAAATGACCAGGACCCTGGTTTTTAATGGAGAAGCTGTGATACCTGGGGGCACTCTACATGTCACAGAAGCAGAGGAGGGATGTGGCAAGGGGCCAGAGGGAAGGTGCTCTCACACCTCTTCCTCCTCAGCTCGGCTACACCGCGGCTGGCCGGGGTCTCCACCCTGCCAGGATGAGGTCTTCAGACCCTGCTGTTTGTCCTCTTGGGTGTCTGTTTAATCCCGGTTCCAGAGGAGGGCACTCAGGCTGGAGGGGAGAGTGGGAACAGGATGGGAGGCTCCAGAAAGGCAGGGTAGGATGCAGAGAGGTAGGTGAGCCAGGTTGGAGAGAGGAGTGCAAGCGGAAGCCCAGAGCACAGCGCAGCAAGCCGGCCTGTAGGGACAAAGAGGCAGAAGCCATCTTACTGATTTCCCCGTGGGACATACAGTTCTGGGGCTTCTCACCCCTAGCACCCACCCCCCCATCCCGGGCTGGACCATCATCCAGAGGGGCTCCTATGAAGCCTCAGCCTCTCAGCCCAGGGCCCAGGCTCCCTCCCCTCCCCTTTCGGAACCCCGGCCGCGGCTCTCCACACTGTGGCTCCTCCACCACGGCTGGTGAAGTCCCACCTCAGCCTTAAAACGCGCCCTTCTCCTGTATCTACTAACACTTGCCCATCTCTTCCTTGGAGAGCTCAGGCCTCCGGAAAGCCTCCTGTGCCAGGGTTATGCGCCAGACCTCTGCCCTGTTGCACAGCCCCTCAGCACTCCCGTGGGGCTTTTATGCAGCCTCACTTTGCTCCTTTCTCCAGCAATTTCCTCAGAGAGGGGGTGGTCTTGTCTTCTCTGAATGGAATCCCCTGGGACCAGGGACTCTGAGTTTGGGGTACTTTACCAGGAGGTGTTTTTAAAAGCTTAGACTTTGAGAGAGTCAGAGCTAGAGGGCTTCAGGGATCATCCAACCCAGTGGCTCTCAAGGTCTTGCAGGAGAATCACCCAGAGGGCTGTCCCTGC